CTCTGGTACAGACCAGAGTATCTACAGTCCCTTGTCCCCAGGAAGCAGCCTCTTAACAAGAGGAAAAACAAGTCTCTTGTCTCTAAACCCCAAGTGGCAGGAGCTCAGGATGTTCTGAACTCGACTTTGGCCGAAGGGCATTCCATAAATGGATCAAGAGAACTGCCAAACCCACTCAGGACTACGTAGGCCAGGTGTGAGCTATGGCTGTGCTGATGGGAAAAGAGGGTGCTTCTGTGGAAGCCAGACAACCACCCCATGGCGCAGCCTATGTGTGTGTGCCGTCGAGAGGATGGCCTGAACCTTACAAATGGGTAGCGGTGATGACTCTCTCCGCACCTTCCAAGTTCAGTCTGGGTACACTTGAGGGCTAGCCCAGAGGAAATGGGGTAACTGCTTTAAAATCTGGAGTCTGTTTCCATAAACTATAGCTGGTATACTCAGGAAAGGGAGGTAATAAGAGTCCCCGAGAGTGGCCAGATAACTTGACCCACATCATGGCAGGCCGGTGTCCCCATCGTCCCCACCACTGTGCAGCCAGAAGCCTTACCCAAGCTGTCCATCAGGTAAGGATCTGCCAGAACTACGTGCAAGGTGGGGGAGGTCAGGGTGTCACCAGGCCTTGGCCACTCTCTCCAACTCCCCAAAGTATGCAAGCTAAAACCCTTGGCCTTGATGAATTAGGTTAGACTGTCCAACAACCTGGATAGTCGACAAACGTAAAGGCAGAGACCCAAGCCAACAGGGCTGGGTAGACCTGCCCCTGCCCACTTCCCACTGCGAGCATGTTCCCGTCCTGGGGCCCAGCAGCCCCATGAGTCACAGGAACCTGAACGTGACATCAGAGCATTGCTGTGGCCAGCCTCAAGCACGGGCACCATAAAAAAACACAGTGCAGGAATTTCATGGCTCGGTATTTTTAAAAAGCAGCAAGATGTGAAACTGGAGTCAAAAATAACTTTGCTGTGGGCTAGAGGCAAAACCACTAAGCCTGTTGTAGGGCCCAGGCCCTTCACTGCAACTTCCCACACTCCTGGACACTAGCCACAACTGGGGCTCTGACCCTTCACCCTTGAGGAAGATCAAGGGCTTTTGCAACTAGACACCACCTGAACCTCTATCACTCACGAACCGTGAAGGGAGGCTCTGAGAGGACAAGTAATCAGTGAAGAGGGCCAACGTGAGTGCATGCAGGACAAAAGCTGGCTGCGCGACAGACTCTGCTCCCTGCCCTCCCAGCACCTACAAAAGGACAACTTACTTGATAGCACCCACCCCCGAGGATTTGAGGGGGAAGAACATCTAGATGAGGGCTGTCGGGACAGCTCTGAGTGCCCACCACTAAGCAGGCGGGCTTGTGGCCAGAGTCCACCTAGAGTCCCTGTAGCTTGGGGGCAGCGAGGGCATTAACTCCTGGACCTACTCCTTCCTGGAGAAAACCCCTTTTTTTCCCCTCTCACTCACTTTCTCCTGCTTAGCCAAACCATTAGTTTTCATGGCAGTTCAAAAGTACTCCTGGGGGAACCTCCCTCGTAGCGCAGCACTATGAGGCTATCCACAGCCACTGTAGCATGAATTCGATCCTGGCTAGGGAGGTGACACGTGTGCATGGCAGACCTCTCCTGTCTCGCTCCACTGCTCCCCTCAGCAGTGTGTTTCAGTCAGTCCACCTGTCCTGTTCCCCACTGTCTCTGGTAAATCCTCTCACCGCCTGTACCTCTGGCCTGTATCCCATTTCTTATATGAATAAATAAGTAAAACACTCCTGGGACCCAAGTCTAGCAGTTACAGAGGCCTGTGGAATGTTCACTCCTGCCCATGTCACCAGGTCCCCCTGGTATGAATTTCCCACACTGCACCTTGGAGAATATCAACTCAGTGGAGTGGCCCACCAGCCTAGCACAGCCAGGTAACCAACCGCTTTGTATGTTACAAGAGACTATGGGGAGTAACAGCATCTCCTAGGGCCACCCAGATGATGAATGCTGGAGCTGACCTCAAAGCCAGGCTGACAGGCTGGTGGCTCGCTGGGCTGAGCTGAGCAGTACTAAAATCCAAAAGGGTCCCCACAGCTGCTCAGAACATGGCATATAGCTGAGATCAAGGTCCAAGGAGCTTGGCGGGGATCTCCCCCACACTGAGAAGGGTCAGGGCAAGGAGGCGTGATCTTCGGCTGGTAATCTCAAGACCTAGCCTGCCGAGCTCTGTGAGCACAAAGCCCTGAGCACGAGGTTTTGGTCTTAACTTTCAGAAGGGTCAAGTTTGGTTTGCAGATGAACTTCTCAATGACATCATCCCTAACGACACCAAAACTGTTTATCAAGGGAAGCTGGGCAACCTCTGATCCTCAGGCATCCTGAAGAAGCCCATTATGTGGACCCCAGGACTGTCCATGCACAAGTCATGGGTGCCATCCTAGCAGCCTATCTGTGCCAGGCATAGGGCTAGCTGCTGGGCCCCAGAGGGCAGGACATGAGGTCACCAAAGAAAGCCCTTGGAAAGTGGCAACCTCAGATAAACACAGGAGGACAATAATGATGAAGCGTGATCCCACATTCTGCCAACTTTCCCTCTAAACAACTCAGACTCACAGGGACACCTGACAGACTGGATCAGATTCTCAGATCCTTGGTCCTCAGATCAGTGCCAAATGGGCCACACACATCCAGTGAGGACAAGATTCTTGGGCCACACCCTGCCTGTTGAGCAGGCGTTGAGGAGTGTCCCGGGGCAGCAGGCTCCGTGGCGCCATCTGTAAACATCCCTGGCCACTGGCCGCTGCAGCCCCCATGGTGCCCTGGAAGGATGTTCTGCAGGACAGATGTCTGAAGGATCTAGAAGGTAGAGTTTATCTCTCAGAGGTCTCTTTGAAGTAGACTTCTGTGTGGGGAAGGAAGCAGGAGAAGACCATGACTCAGACGACACTGAAGCAGGAGTCAGTGTTGGGTGGCCAAAGTCACCCCTGCCCTTCCCGAGCACAGAGGCATGTCAGGATTGCAAGATGTACTCACTGAGGGGGCAGCGTCTGAGACCAAGACCCACAGACCAAGGAGGCTGGAAAGGATAGGGGCAGCTGCCTGGTTCAGGGGAACCTTCCAAGAGGGGACTGCCCTCAGCCATCCGGTTCCAAGAGGCGGGGGTGGGGAATCTCCTTCACCAGTGGGGATTGCTCTGGCACACCAGAGTGGCTGAACACTTCAGCTAGAGCCACAGCCCCAAAGAGGAGGTAACCTGAACATGAAAATGGGCTCCATGCAACAGGGCCTTCAGCTGTGGTGCCCAGTTTCCTTAGGGCACCACAAGCCCATTAGGTACACGCCTCACTTTGTGCTGTCAGGAACACTCAAACATTGTCTGTTTGGCAGAGCAGGTGACCGGCTGACGGGCTTGGCATCTGGTTGGGGGTGGAGTGTCACTTGAATTTGCAAAGGGACTGAACAGTGCGAAGTAGGACAAGGGTGCAGAGACACCCAGAACCCACAGCCCAAGGCCACCGAGAGCCTTCTCTCTGTCTGTGATGTCAGTTTCCTTTAAAGTTACTATCATACTCCTAAGTGCTAACACATAACAAAGCCCTCCATGTGTACCCTAAAAACACAGCGGCAGGAAATGTTTTTAGTATTATACTCTTCTGGATCCAATGAAACTATTTTTAAACATCTTCTCAGACTTTATTTCCAATTTTATCTCATAAAGTTCTAATTGATTCCACCTCCCCTGATCTCTCACTTGACAAGGCTGCGAAGAACATGAGACAGGCTCAGCTCTGACGGGGTCTGAAGTGGGGGTTTTGCTCGTCTTTGCGTGCTGCTCATCTCTAGCACAAGCCTTCGCATGGGCTGATGAGCTTTCAGGCAAGCCGTGGAGGTGCCCTGGAGCCCCACAATCCCCCAACCACTGACATCTGAGCTTTCCCTGCCATGGGCTGAAGGTGTGCAGCCCCGTCTGGGATGCTGTGGCACTCCGTGGGCCACGTGACACAGGTGGAGGGGCTCTTCTCACTAGTCTGGGGTCCAGAAGCAGGGAAAGGAGGCCTGGCCCCTGAGCCCCGTCTCCATCAAACTCAAGGATACTTTGTGTTGTCCTGCAGCCTCATTCCGCCCATGAGTTGGCACAGGAGAGGGACGCTGAGCCAAGGAGAGACGGGGCCTACAGATCTTTAAGTCCTGCCTTGGCCATGCTACGCCACCACCTACACAACACATGCCGGCGTGCTGGGCTTCACTCCCTGCCCGGATGCACCCATGGGCCCCTCCAGACCGACAGACTGTTGCCTGTCTCAGGACCACTCTCCCCCAGGGTGAGGTAAGCCCTCTGCAGTGCTGGCAGCCACCTGTCAGGGCACTTTGCTCTTGCCAAAACTGCTGCACTGTGTGTTATAAGCTGCCAGAAGTATCTCCAGAGGGCCCGGCCCACATCTGTCTCCACGGGGAGGGCAGTCAGGGCCACAGCTCACTAGCATTTAGTGAGCCTAGTTAGGGTTAGTTACGGGCTAAACACTTACCACATACTCATTTCCTTTAATCTTTCCCACAAATGTGAGAGGTGGAGCTCACGACCCCACACATCACAGATAAACACAATGGGCCAAAGGGATTTCCCCGAGGTTGCTCAGAGGCAGAGTAGTGCAGCCCACACCAGAGCGAGGCACTGATGTCTTGACTCACAGCTCAGAGCTGCCTGGCATGTCCCTGGCGAGTCCGCTCAAAGAAGAGTGGGCTTAGTGGACAAGGTTTCTCTCAAAAGCCTGCTGGGCTAGGCCTGTGTGGGTATACACTGGCAGGATTCCACACTGGTGATTTTGGGGTCCAGTGGAATGCCAGGGCTCAGATGTCTCTGTAGTTCAATTCCCAGACAGGCACTGATATTTCACTAATTGGGGCTGGAAACTAGGTCCATCATTTCTGTATTTTAAAAAATTTGGCACTTGCTAATGAACTTTGAAGTGTCTGAATGTCAGACCAAGGTCAGACATGGGGTAAACTCCCGCCTTGGCCTACCTGGGTGAGGACGTCCAGCTGGCCCACGATGTGCTCCAGGGTGCTGGTCAGTGTCTGGGGCATGCTGACAGGTTCCTGGGGCTGGCTCAGCACCGACTCCTGGCTCCTGCCCCTGCCAGATGGCACAGGGAGATCCACTTCTGGCTAAAAACAACAAAAGCAGAGAAAGCCCCGGGGTCTTAATTCAGGGCTTGAGGAGACACTGGGAGAGGAGGAGCCCCTCCAAAGGATTAAATGGAAAACCACCAACAAACTGGATAAAATGAATTCCAAATGTTGGTGGGAAACAGTGGTGTGTAGTGTTCCCACATCCAGGCCTGCACCCCTTTCCAGACCTACCTTACTGAGCAGAGGTCATGAGTAAGGAGCGTACTCTCAACTGACTCTTGAGGGACCTTTGGGGGCCACCTGCCAATGCTTCATATAGCCTGTACCCTCCATTAAGTCTCTTGACCTCTTGGTCTAAGTCTGAGGTCACCCTCTTTCTGGTTAGTTCAACGCCAAGCCCCACGCCCAGAATGGCCAGGCTTCACTAAGGCCTTCCCAAGGCCCCAGCAGTTGTCAGACAGAACTAGGAGCATTGTTTCAATCTTGTCCTGGCACAGAACCCCTGGGAAATAGGGATTTCTATGCGACTGTCCTGACCAGAGGAGGTGGGAGCCAGCATCCACAGGATTGGTGCCTTGAGCTGCTTCAAACAGGTCACCAGGAATGTGAGGGGTTCAGTGATTCTGCCTAAGGTCTTTCAGACCCCATCAAAGACAAGTGATTTCTAAGGTCTCAGAGCTTCCAATTTCTTTGGGGGAATGGTTCTCTATGGGAATGACGTGCTTGGTGAGGTTCCCACACTTGTGGTCATCCCCAAAGCCCCAGTAACCCATACATGCAGACATGCTTGGGGTTCTGAACCATGACCTCATTAATGGACATCCCAAACATAACATTACCTCGTCTCTCACTTGACTTCACCAGTCTTCCAGGATACTCTGGCACCTTCAGTAGAAAATCAAGCCCTTGCCGAGGCCTTCTCTCCCATCAGCCTCCCTCCACAGTATCCTCTAGCCACTATACTCTCATGCCTAGCTCTGGAGGTCCACTCCATCGGTAGAAGGGCCACACTTCTTTTTTCCTGCTTCCAGCATCCACTCTCACTTTCGACACCACTCTCAGAAGCTGCCCTGTGGTCCTAGTACCTGGGCCTGTGATGTCCCTGCCCTGCTGCGTCTTTGGCCAGTGCATCCCCAGAGCAAAGACTTGTGAATGGGAGCAATCAAAGCTAGCCTGCCTACAGGGCCTGCTGCCCACCCATGTTTGTGTTCCTTGCTGGGCTGCTCATCACTCCTTCCTCCTCCATACCCAGGACCTAGGTTCAAAGCTGCCCAAAGCACTACAGAGGCAAGGCTAGACCACCTAGGACTTCAGCCCTACGGCTATGGCCACTGGAATATTCCAGCTATGACAGGCTCACTGGGATGTCTGCACACCTGCCCACCGCCTGGTCTTGGCAACACTACCTGCCTGTGCAGCCACCTTCAGTGGTTGGCTCGCATTGGAGTCTGTCTATCTCTTCGATGAGTCTACAGTGGCTCTGCACATGCTCACTTAGTGGGCATCAGAGTCCTTGAAAAGACTCAACCCAGGAGAGGACTCCCAAACCAGCCAAGGAGTTCAGCGCATGGGCTGCATGTTTTCTTTTAGTTCTAATCACAAAGATAACAAACTCTTGAGTGCAAGTCTATTTGAACTTGAAAAACGCAGGCCCTGGAGATTACAGGAGAAGCTGAATGTGAAACACGAGCCAGAGGGGTGCTGTTGAAAGCAGCGGCAGTCCCATGTTTGTATGTCCTCTGCCGGCTTGCTTGCCACAGTGCTGGGGCCATTTTGTAAGTCCTGGCCCACTGCGGGTAGGGCTCTTTCAGCCTGTGGGAATCAACGCACTTCAGACTGCAGATCTGAAGAAAACAATACAGACTCCTCAACACCATCCTTGCTGGTACGGCCATCACCCCACCACAGTGGCCCCCAGACCAAGGCAGTTGTCACAGACACAGCAGAGAACATCTGGGAAAAGTGCAACCCAGGGAGACTGGCTGGCACTATGCTCCACCACTGACGTGAGGCCTCACGTCAGGAGCTGGGGGCCTCTGAGGGGATGCAGGGGAGTCACCAAGCATGTGAAAGCAAAAAATTAAGCTTTCACATGCTTGGTGACTCCCCTGCATCCCCTCAGAGGCCCCCAGCTCCTGGGTATAATATTTTCTGCATCATCCCCCACACCACCTACCCAGGAATGTTGCCCAGCACGGAGCTAAACACAGAGAAGGCCTTCCACAAACACTCCGGTGCCTCAAAGGGCCAAGCCCACCACCACGGTGACATTCCTGTGTGATGAAACCTTCCCAACACCATGACCAGCAGCCCTACCCACACAGCACTGCAGCTCTCCCCTGCACTCCAGCACCCTGGAGATGTGGCATTGCCCCAAGAGCTTGGCAAATAAGCGATAAAGCAGAGATAAGAAGATGATGGGCACGAGCAGGAAGAGAGGCACATACCAAGGCTATGAGTAACAATAATGGCAGAATAACCAGAGCTGCATTAAAGGGGAAAAACCATTAGCACTTCCTTCAACATCAAAGGCCACTGGGGCCTTGCCTGGTGGTTCTAGGTCAAGCGAATCACAAGTACATCACCGGGTTAACCACATTGCATTCCTACAGAACTGCACCACCTCTTTCACTTTTACCAAACATAAACATCCTAACACCAACAGAAAGAAAGCTGAAATTTGGAACACATAACTCTATTTAACTTTGTGGTACTCTCACTTAGGTTCTGAGAATGCCCTACTTCTGAGGAATACAGGACCTGTCTCAAACTGAAGTGGGACCAGGACAGCAGAGATGCCGCAACAAAGCCAACAAAGCAAGCACCAAATATGCAGGAAGAGCCCCCAAGTCTATGGCTGGCAGAGGGGCATGCCCCCAGGGAAGCTGAGATGGGGAGAGTGGGAAGCAAGAGTATTAGGAAAAATCCCCCAGCACCCAGACTTCACCCTTAAAAAAAAGCCAGTAGTGAAATAAGCCAGAAAGAAAAGGAAAAATACTGGATAGTTTCACTCATAGCAGGAGTATAATGGACCAGGAGAGAAAATAATAATAATGAACAGCTATAGACCAGAGACATTTTATGGGGGTGGAGTGGGGAATAGGATCACAAACAGAGGGGGGAGGGAAATGCACAGGACTATGGTGATGGCACATGGGGTGATTTGGTGATGCGAAGCCCACGGGACTACCAGAGATGGAAAAAGGCACAAAAATGATGTAAAAATTAGCTATTATATTATATATATATAAAAAAAGAATTCAGGCGGAAGTAACATCTTCAAAATAATTTTAAAAAACTAAGCCAAGTACAATTCCTGATAAGATTGACTAGTTACCTCAGTTTCTACAATGCTAAATGCAATGTCTAGCATTCAATAAAAAATTATGAAACACACAAAAAGGCAAAAAAAAAGAAAGAAAGAAAAGGAAAAGAAAAACATACCATTGTTGAGACAAAACAATCAGCAGAATCAGATTTAAATGATTTAGATGGTGACACTAGCAGACACAGGATTTAAAATAAATATGATTAATGTGTCAAAGTTTCAACTGGAAAATGTATACAATGCAGATGAGCAGATAGGAAATTTCTCCCTGACATCATAAGAAAGGGTCGCTATAGGAAAGACTGGAGCTCTCTCCGTCTTAATGCCTCTCAGTCTGAGAAGACTCCACACTATGACAGCCAAGTGGCACTTTGCCCCAGACCCTGTGACACTCTGGACTAGTTCCATTCTCAGTTGTGAGAACGTTGTAACGTGTACAATAAATCATCCCTCCTGCTATTATTGCTCTAGGGTGAAAAAGTCAATAGAAACGCTAGAAATAAGAAATCCATTAACAAAGATGAAGAATGGCTCTGATGGACCATTAGCAGACTCAACTCAGCTCCGGAAAAGAAATCAATGACCTTAAAGTTAGATTAGTCCCTCAAACTGAAACACAATAGGAAATAAACCAAACCAAAACAAAAACCAGACAGACAGAAAAGAACATACATAAGCTATATGGGACTATATTAAATTAATACACGTGACTTGAATCCCAGAAAAAGAAGAGAAAAAAGGGACCAGGATCATTTTTTATGGTGCATGTTTGCTGGTAGTAAATTCTCTCAGTTTTTATTTGAAAAGTGTCTGTAATTTGACTTCATTTCTAAAAGATAGTTTTGCTGACTACAGAATTCTGTAGACAGTTTTTTCCTTTCAGCGTCTTCAGGTATATATAGTTTTACATGAAAATTGTACTGAAGTCTTACCTTTTCCCTCTGTATATAAATGTGTCATTTCTCTGCATACCTTTGTTACTGTCTCTTAACCTTTGGTTTTTGGAGAGCAGACATATACTTTGTGTAGGGTTTTGGTTTGTTTTCCACTTTTTCTTTAGTCTTTTGTCCTTACTCTACTTTCTTGAATCTGTGGTTTGATGTCTTTCATTATTTTTGAAAAATTCTTGGCCATTGTCTTTCATTGCATGAACAACATGAAATTGGTTATTTGTCTACTATGGCTACTCTATCAAACTGTCACACTTGATGGCCTCAAACAACTTAAATGCATTTCTCTCAGAGTTCTGGAGGCCAGAAGTCCAGACTCCCTGTGGAGGCAAGGGGGAGGCCTTGCCTCTTTTGGCTTCGACTGGCTCCAGGATTCCCTGATTTTTGAATGCCCAACTCTAAACTGTACTTCCATCTTCACATGGTATCTCCTTCTCCATGTGTCTCCCTTCTGTGTGTGTCTTATAAGGATACATTAGGACCAACCCAATGTTCCAAGATGATCTCAACCTGAGCTCCTTAGCCTAGTGATATTGGCAAAGGCCATTTTCCCAAGAAGGTAATATACACAGGTTCTGTGGTTAAAATATGGGCATATCTTTTGAATGGGCACCATTCAACCCACTACAAAATATTCAGATAAAAATTCGACAAAGGGCCCTCCCTGATGGCGCAGTGGGGTAAAGCACGGCACTAAGAAGCTAAAGCCACTTCAGCATGAGTTGGATCCCCGCCATGGAGGTGACCACATGGCACAG